GCTTAGTATTAGTGGGAAAATGGAGGGGGCAGATAGAGGCGTCTTAGCGTAGATACTTGGTTTTAAAAACTTCTGGGTCTATGTTTTCTGATACTGGAATGTAATCATCCTTCCTTTCTCTAGAAATGCAGAGAGAGGAAGAGTGCTGGTACCATTCCTGGTCTTCATAGCTCAGCATTGTCAAGGCAAATAAAATCTCCCTCATTGTCACCCATAATGTTTCCTGCACAGATATTACAGGTTTTATCCTTATCTGAAACTATGAACCCTGCATTCTATGTCTATAAAACATCTGTAGGTTGTAGAAATGTTTATTTTGAAAAGATGTGCAGAAAATCAGTGATGTGAAATTTTGTCTAATTTATTTGGGTGTTCTTGAGTTCATAATACATTGAAATAATGGTGGTTCACTGTGACCAAAACCCCCAACATATTTTAACTATTTGTTTTCACATTTAGTATAACATAACATAAATTCTGTTGTCAGAGTTAATGGACATAGTGCAGTCCAATCTATAGTCAGGCCAATTGAAAAGTATCTGTCAAGCATGTGACCTTGTTAGCACATTAACATTTTCACACTCTCAGAATCTTTGCAGAAAAACTTACATGATATAGAAGTTAGAATATAAGGTTCAATTTCTATATTTGCACTGAAAAAGAAGTAGATTATGTAGGAGGAAAAACTACAAAACTAGAAGTCTCTGTAAAATGTTGGAGTATGGTGCTTCAGTTTAATATAATTGTTTAAACTGGTGTTTCTACCCACTGCAAACACCTCAACATAAAGCTAAATTTATATGATGTAATGAAAGCACATCATGCCGTACAAAGATAATCTCTATTCATACCGAATACAAGAATACAGATTTTCTTGGAGAAATCCACTTTGTTAGTAACTGCAGTTCTTAGACACAAAATGCCTGTATTTAAGATGCTTCATTTTTATGAAAATGGTAATGAAATTGCATCTGTATGTTTGCATGTGTATATGTCTTTTCTCACGATCAGTGAATGTTTGCAGTTGGTAATAAATATTCAAGCACCTTGCAAATGTCCTACCAATTCCCTTTGCTGATCTGTGTGTGCCTGTGGGACTAGAATAGGAATGCATAATTTAAATATAAATTGCCTGATTTGCATATACAATTAGTCTAGCTGCAGCTTTGATCGTAAGCAAAAATTATTGTCCTGTATTGCCACTTAGATGGAATTTTAATTCACCTTGAATATTCAAAGTAAATTAAGCCTTGGTTGTATGGTTGAAGGGTATGATTTTTTTTCCTCTCCTGAGGCTTTCCCCTAAACAACATTTATGGTAGGGTAGTATAAGGGCATATTTTCAGCCTCATAAAAATAAAGGCATGAGTTTTATCTCTTAAATTCTCACCCCTTGAAAACTTCAGTTGAAACATCTCCCACAGGCAGGCACACCCGTAACACACGCACACACACAGAGTAATAGAACTCTTCTTTCATTTTAGTTATTTCAGTTTTAGTCAGTACACGGCTTCAAGTTAGTTCTTTTTTGTATTTTGCTTAATAACTGAAAATGGAGACTTCATGTACTCCTTAGTTTTTTAAACACCAGTTGCAGAGCTATGACGCATAACTCAAGAGTTACCGACTTAGTATCTGTACGTAAGAGTCAGAGCTATGTGCATGTGCATGCACACAGATACAGGGGCTAAATACATGGTCTAAAACTCAAACCCCTAACAGAGTTGTAATACTGAGATTTTAATCTACAGTAAAACATTTTTATTAGAAATCTATGTTTTTAATTAAACAGTACATTTAATTAAGGTGGGTTTTAAGTGGATGAAACAATTAAGTGCAAACACTTGAATGAAACATGTCATAATTAGTTTTAATAGAGTGTTAATTGGTACTAGGTTTGCCAAGTTAATAATTACTGCTTATTAAATTTTCAATTAATCATTGTCATTTTGCTTTGAATAAAGATGAAAATTAGATAAACTAATTCAGGGGGAGGATGGTTTCCTTGTTAATTAGAGCAGTTAATTAAAAAAAAAAGAAATTACTTGTTTTACTTGTCAATTAACAGACTGTTCATTAGTAAAATCTTTGCACTCTTTCTGCATCAAAACTCAAATAACTAATTTGTAACAATCCATATTTTCCGGAATAAGAGATATGACACTGGTATATACTGAAGAAACGACTTATACTGACTTAGTTATTTTGCGAGGAGCATAAAGGCTTGGTTTTAATGAAGCAGACTACCCCTGCTCAGTGTTAATTGTGCACTGATGCCTTGCTGGCTGCAGGGTGCTCAAGAGCTTGACAGAGCCAGGAAGTCAAGTCTTCACAGTGTAAAGCTTGGAGGAGAGATCAAGAGGCCAAATGAATGTTCATAAACAAATTTTAATTTTGGCTCGTAAAATTAAATGTCTAGGAAAAGCTATTAGACCAATGATTTAAAAATTTTAAATAAACTCATGAGGTTGATTTTGGCTTCATCTATTTATTAATTAACATATGGGGGAAAAAATTGTTAGTGACTATAAATCTGTCTTAATTTCCAGCAAAGATACATTTTTGAAAAAGTCTGTAATATTATATCTTAAATAGTAATTCTTGCCCAACACATTTAGTAGCCTGATGCACTGCAAAACCAATTTTCCAAGTAAAATATTCAAAAATATTTCAAAAATAACGTGCCAGAGATCTGAAATTTCCATATGTAGAGAACTACTGACTGTGAATCAAAACAGCAAGAATCGTCACAAGTGTTAAAAATTTGGGTGATGGGAAAGTAAAAGATGTGCCTGGGGGGTCCTGAAGAGTCTTGAGGAACTGAGTTCCTCTGAGTCCTTCCAGTCAAAATGAAGATTCTCAAAATATCGGCCGCGTTTCACGCATCGATCCTAATAGCCCTGTGCCCAACGTCCCATGATGACGAGGATTTCTTCCCTCCTTTGCAGAGGAAGCTGTCAATGAAGTGAAGCGTCAGGCGATGGCCGAGTTGCAGAAGGCGGTGTCGGAGGCAGAGCGGAAGGCTCACGACATGATCACTTCAGAGAGAGCCAAGATGGAGCGCACGGTAGCCGAAGCCAAGCGCCAGGCCGCAGAGGATGCCCTTGCTGTCATCAATCAGCAGGAGGATTCGAGCGAGGTAAGATCTTTGCTGGGCAGGCATCACACATGTCTGGAACCCCCGGGTATATCTGAGCCAGCTTTGGTCTGGCGCAGGCTGTTCTTGTGACGTGGGAGTTCAGTGCCCACCTTGAACTGCTCTCATGGTTGCTTTGGACAAATATTTTGGGGCACATGCTGAGCTCTAAACTCTCGTGGCTGTGTTGTAATCTGAGCCCCAAATGGCTAGTGAACTTGAGAGATTTTCTTACCTTTTGAATGTTCAGGGATACTTCTAAAGCACAATTTCTCTTCTAATTCAGCTCTTCAGTTGCTTTATTTTAAAGCAAACCATATTGATTAGATAATAAGATTGCTTGCTGGAAAATATTTCAAACTGAAATATAATTTTATTAAACAAAGAAATTATTCATTTAAGAGATTGTAGAGTGAGGTGGCTAAAAGCTTGTCTGGGCAAAGTGTTGAATGTAGAAGTGATTAACATGAGATGATGGTTCCTGTAGGACACATGAATGTAGCTTTGGAAGTGTTTCCTTATTTTGGATGTGCTGCTTTGGCTGCCGGGAATATTCGAGACTTGAAGAGTGGGCAAACACATTTGGAATGAGCTAAAACAGAGCAACAAAGAGCAACAAAATGTAGAACAAGAATAAGTATGATTTACTTTTGAGACCTGAGAGTGGAAGCTTTGAATGGCTGCGGTACAGGACATCCAGCAGCACTCTTAGCTGGAAGCTAAGAGTGAAAGGGCAGTGTGTGTTTGACCAGTGCTGCAGCAGTCTAGATAGCAATTAGATTGTACATCCGTTACAGAAGAAAAATGTCCTAGGTTAAAACTGTCCTTGTAAACAGACATGACAAAGAAATGGCATCAGTTAGAAGTTCACAGAATCACAGAATGTTAGTGGTTGGAAGGGACCTTGAAAGATCTAGTCCAGACCCCTGCCAGAGCAGGATCACCTACAGTAGGTGACACAGGAGAAGAGGTGGGTTTTGAATGTCTCCAGAGGAGACTCCACAACCTCCCTGGGCAGCCTGTGCCAGTGCTCTGTCACCCTCACAGTGAAAAAGTTTTTTCTGGTATTTTTGTAGAACCTCCTATGTTCCAGCTTGAACCCATTGCCCCTTGTCCTGTCATTGGACGTCTCTGAAAAGAGCCTGGCTCCGTCCTCCTGACACTCACCCTTGACATATTTATGAACATTAATGAGGTCACCCCTCAGCCTCCTCTTCTCCAAGCTAAAGAGACCCAGCTCCTTCAGCCTTTCCTAATAAGGGAGATGTTCCACTCCCTTCATCATCTTTGTGGCTCTGCGCTGGACTCTCTCAAGCAGTTCCCTGTCTCTTTTCAGCTGAGGGGCCCAGAACTGGACACAATATTCCAGATGTGGCCTCACCAGGGCAGAGTAGAGGGGCAGGAGGACCTCTCTCAACCTACTAGCTACTCCCCTTCTAATACACCCCAGGATGCCATTGGCCTTCTTGGCCACGAGGGCACATTGCTGGCTCATGGGCATCCTGCTGTCCACTAGAACCCCCAGTTATATATAATCTTCATCTCCCAAGGCCACTGAAATGAAGGGACACTACTTCCATGAAGTATTTGTTATTCTTGTCGTAAGGTCTTGGCTGTAGTAAAACCACTTTTTAATCTAAAATCTAAGTGTCAGGGGATTGGAAAAAAAGAGTAGATAGCGGTACCTGTTGTGTGGGGACATATTTGGGGTATGCTGGTGTCGAAGCACCTTCCATGGGCTGGATAGGCAGCACTGTAAAAGAGTCACCTGAGTTGAAAGATGCAGATGAGCTAGCTGCAGCATGCTGAGAAAACTGGCATAAATCATGAGTAGGTAAGTCAGTGGCATGCTGCAGTATACATCTGTAATTTGAGGGAGCGTAAGATTTTAATTCATACCAGGCTTCTCTGGAGATGAAAGACCATTGTGAGATCACTGAATACCCAAAGTTTCTCCTTAATGTGGAGCAGATGAATAACAAGGAGACAAAAGGAATTGATTTTCAGCATCTGAAAGTTTCTCAGGAAGAAAGGGACTAGGGGAAGTGTATGTACTCTTTAAATACTAACTGTTCCATTGTAGATTAAATGAGACATAAATTCAATTTATTGGCGTTTTGTATCTGAGATACTCAAGGACATTTTTCCTGCACTGTATTTGTAGAAAGGGCATTTGTATGACTTAGCATCATTAAAGAGCTGTCGTTTTGTGTGTATATGTATACAAGAGACTCCTGTTGTTAAAATCAAAATTCCAAAGGTAAATGCCTGTGAAGGAAACAGCAAATTAAATCTGTCTGGTGAACTGATACAGCATAAGCAGGGCAGAGGAAGTACTTATGTGCCAATACATACAGCTCGTTCTTCCACAAGCAAACGTGCATCCAAAGGAATGTGTAGAGAGTTTGTGTGCCGTAATTGAGTTCTGAGCAGGCCTAGCACTGAAAGAAGCTGTATAACAACAGACATCTTTATTTATTCTCTAGCAGAATTGCTTATAAGGTTCTTCACTTGCTGGAAACAGGACTTTAAAAAAACCCCAAATAATTATTTTAATCTTGTAGTAATGAAATGTAGCTCATAGGGTCATGGATGCTCACAAGGCTATGCAATCTTCAGGGAGGATACAGACCTCTTGGACCTAGAAATGAAGTCTAGTTTCTGCAGCTTTCACCCCCTGTAGTCATGAGTGGCACATCAGGGTGACTGTTTTGAGGTGAAAAATAAAAGTTTTGGTAAACCTGCAGAAAGAACTCATTTTTCTCAGTTTATATTTACAGGTGCTGGATTAATTGCAAAAGCTGATGACAGTGACACTTATTTGGGAGATAGATGTGTCTATTAAGTTTTATTATTAGTTCCTCTTCAGCTTCTATGCCAAACTCCAACCACTTAGGGCAAATTTTCTCACAATTACCAGTTAACTCACAATAACCAGTTAACTTTTTTTTAAATTCTATTTTTGGTAACTCCTGTAAGAGCAGGCCAAACTTTTCCTTCATCTTTCAGGACAGGAGATGCATTTGCCAGTGTTTAAATAGTGGAGATGACATCCTGTGCTTATCAGGGTTCAAGAATGAAACTTCACATTTGCTCTGGTGCTTGTTGTCTCTCGATCTTTCTGTGAACATCTTTCCTCATTTGTCAAGGTTGTAAGACTCCATAAGCTTCCTTCCGTTTACAACTTTCAGCAGAACACTTCCAGCAATGCAGAGTGGTGTGTATTGGAGTAATATTTCCAGACCTAGAATATTTCCAGTTCCAAATGCGGAATAACAGCTTCTGCAGTCTTGCAGGTCTAGAGGGAGGCTGAACATCCCTCCTCGTTTCTTACCCTTGGTGTGGGACTTTACACCAAGGCCTGTGAGAGAGCTCAGTATAGGCTGCTATATAATCTCCATGCGGTTTCTGACAGAGGATTTCTCCCACGGGTGTCATTTGTTCTTTTGGCTGTTGAAACTATTAATGGAGATGGGAATTTGGCACCAGATTTCTAATGTATCAGATACAATTTTTGTCTGATATGGCCACTCCCTCTCTATTGGCAAGGTTTCTCATGTAGAGCTCTTCATTTGTTATTCAGTAAAATGCACTCTGAGCATAGCTGAGGTTCCTTGAAGCTGCTCTGGTGTGAGAACTTTGTGGCATGATTTTTATCGCAGTCTTCTCCAGAACTCAAAAGTTATAACTAGTACTAAGACTTAAGATTTTTGTAATTATTTTAAGATAATACACAGTCTCCTCATCCAAGACATTTCTTCAGAGGTATCACAAAGAGAAGTAGATGGCTTGATTATATTTTTCGTTGAGGTTTTTTGTGTTGTTTTGGAGGTATTTTTGTGGTTTGTTTTGCTTTGTTTTTAACCCAGAAAAATTAGCATCCCTGAGTGAAAGATTATCTGCAAGAAAACAGTAAATTTTGGCATGTTGAGCTGACTGAAGTAAAATAAAGGGAACTGAGGACAGTGAGAGGACTAATAGGAGAGGTGTGATATTTGGAAACATTTTGATTTCGGAGAAGTGGTCTGCAATATTTTGTGAATTAATATGTTACACAGTATAATTTCAATTTCTGACCCCAACCTGATCCCTTGTTGAACTACTTTTTTTTTACTCATGCTTGAGTTGTTCATTATGATTTAACTCGCAGTGCCACTGCTTCAGCGTCTGTACATTTACTTTCTAAAGATTTCCATAGTTACTTGGCATAAGTCCTTGTGACCGACCAGGACGTGTTCATAATTTTCTGTTATTTTAGTGAAAGGTTGGCTGAAGACCAGCTGACGGAGCACACTGCTCTTGGAAAGCAAAAGGACAGGAGAAGGCCTACCTGTCAGCATGGCTGTTCCTGAACCACAAATTATTTCTTTACCAGTTCCTTACAGTTGCTTGACAAAGGATGACCCATTCATCAGTAGTTGACTTGGCTAAGTATAGAAACATGTGTGAGCAGCCTACTCTTTAATGACTGCCGTGCTTGCTTTGGCTGCAATGTGCTGTTGTGCAAATCAATTTTAATAGTAAGGGTGAACAGCTTAGCAGAGAGACTGGCTGCCCAGATTGTAGGGGGTGAAAAAAACCCATAAAAACATCTGTCTTTCTGCTCTGGTATAAAATGCCACTGAAAAATCTGACACTCAGCGTTCTTCCTCACTTCTGAGTAGAGTGGGGGCTGGGGACGGGGAAGGAACACAAATGTTTCAGTTCTCTCTACGTAAAGCAGATGCTGACATCTGCTCGGATAAAACAAGTGTGTAACTGGTCCAGCACTTCTTTTAAGAGATGTGTAATGTTAGGGCTTGTTTATATTGCAGCAGTTTATGTTGCATGTGAATGTCACCTGATGTTTTGAAGACAGCTGGGTTCAGTCTCTGATGACCAATCCATTGAGACCAGGACTGTGCCAGCAAACCTGGCTCTGAGCATCAGATGCTGTGATTCAGGCAAGCCTAGTGTTTAGGCTGGTATTAGATTTAATACCTATGTCAGCTAATGTTTAATTTTCTTGGCTGGGCATCTCTTAGAAGCTAGCACATCATCCCCCGCACTGGTGGTGGGTACAGAGGCACCAGAGCCAATGTGTTCTGTGCAGGATCAGTCCAGATGTGATGTGAACATTGGCACTGCCCCGGACTGCTGAGCTCAGCCTGTCCAGCCAGCTTGCATGTCTCTTCTGTATACTGTTCTCCACACTTCTGTTTTCAGGATTTAGCTTCTCTCATGCTGACTTGTATGAACATGGATGTACTCCACACAAGACTGGCTTGGGCAAACCTGGTGGGTTCGGTGGCGTGTGTTAGGTGCTTTACTAGAAGCATATAAAGGTTTAAATATCTTTGTGTGGAAGCACTGCATTTTGGTGGGAATTTCCAAAGTACCAATGTGTTTTGCTTTCTAGCGGGTCTTGGGTAGAACTTTCATAAACAAATTTGCTGGGTTTTTCACACTGGTGTTCAATGGCTCGTATAGTCCTCATTTATGCCACTGTGGTTTCAGTGATTTCTAGAAGATCTTTTTCTTGCGGTTAGCAGTGATAGAGTTTTGAATGCCATAGGCATTGCAGAACTGGGAAAAAATCTCAATTCTTCATACTCAACTATTGCTTCCTTTCCTGGTAAACTGGGAAAATCCAGAATTTGTCAAAGATGACAGAGCAGTGTTTGACACTGTATTACAGCATCTCGGAGTTCATCATCTCTTCGACGTGTCACAGTCTGGTTTGTTTTTTTTTCTTTAAGCAAGCTCTATTCTGACTCTCAGCTGGAGATGCAGAGGGAAGCAAATACTCAACTGTGGTTGAATATTTCAAAGATTAAAGCAATGAGATAGGCAAAAATTATTGACAAATATGTGTCTTCCTACTGGAGACCACAAAAATGGAGACCATTTGTTTTTAAGAATTTTCATGATGGCAAACAGAAGTTTCTGAGTTCTGTTGTTTGAAGGTGGAAGCTTAAGTGCATGAGAATTAAAAGTCTGACCTAAGATAAGGCTCTGACCTGAGACTGATGTTCCTTGTCAGTTGAAAGAGGAGAATGAAATACGATCGGTGGAATAAATTCGGAGCAAGATTCCCATCTGGTGTAATTTAGCCCAATTTCATTGAATTAATCCATTTTCAAGGTAGTGAAGTTAAATTAAATTATGTAGTCTGAGAATCTGGCCTTTTGTATAACCTCACTGTTTCACAGGAAAATCAATGCAGAGTTAAATTGTAATCCAGTCCTTCTTACAGTTTTAGCTACATCTGGAACTCTATAAAGCATGAGCTCGAAGTACCGCGTAGTTAAGTCACTGCCTAAAGACAGAGGTCATAGACCAGGAGAGGCTTTGAGAGGTCTGCTACCTCCTTTCCCTGATCAACACTAGCTATATCATTCCTGTAAGGTACCTGTTTTTCCCATGCCCTAGTGATGGAAATTCTCCAATGCCTCTAGGCAACTGGTGCCTGTTCTTAAAAAGATTTCTCATAACATGTCTTTCTCTTTCCAACTTTTCTTGCAGATTTTTGATCCTATTACTTCTCATGTTCATCTGTGTAGGCGCGGTCATTGCCTGTTTCACCACAGTAGCCTCCGAGATATTTGAGTACTACCATCCCTTCTTGGGCTACCGTCTCCCCTTAGGTTTAATGTTATGAATTTGTTCAGCCTCTTCTCATAGTTTGTCTTTGTCTGACTTCTGATTATTCTTCTGATTATTCCTTTCTCTGAGTTCTTGTCTTATTTGTTTTGCTGTGTTGGAAGTACATCATCCCAACCTGGACGGTACTCCAGGCTGGGTCTTGCCAGTGCTGGTAGATGGAGAGTCTTAAACCAGGTGTAAAGCAGTCCATAATCCTGTTCATATGCCCTTGTATGATGATTACCATCTTGTCACCAACACGATATTGTGGTCTCGTGTTATCTGAGGTGCTTTCTACATGGTTCAGCCAAGATGCTCCATTTTGCTGGTACCTACTAGAGCTTTCCAAAATACCTTCAGCATGCTCAATCCCATAGCGAGCTTAAGTGTTGTTCATGATATCTGGATCAATTGGAAATACATGAACAGGGCCATGTGAAACACAGCCCGGGGTATTAGCAGGCACATTGAGCCTGACTTTTCTTTAGTAGAATTTGGGCTCTGGAGCTATCAGCCAGCAACGTGAACAGAAAGCATCTATTGCCAGAGGTTGTGATGCCTGAACGTGATCTTTACTGCTCTTTTTCATTTGTCGCGCATGGGAAGGAGCAATGAATGGCCACAACGGTGAGGGCTCAAATGCGACTACTATTGCAGTGCAAGCTCCCTGTGGCATGTGTGTTTGTTTACGCTAATTTGCACTGTAGTAATTTTTAAATGCAATAAGTTGTTGCTTAAATGTGAGCTGTAAAGTTTATTTTGAAATTCTTGTATTTTATATGCTTTTATTCCCACAATTACACTAAAGCTGTAATGACCTTTTAAATTAGAAATAATATGTACAATGGACAAAATCACATACCAGACAATGCAGGACACATTAAATGATCATGTAAGGAGCCAGCTTAGAGCTTTGCCACTTCGTTAAAATCTTGCACTTACGGATCACTTTTCATGTTCTGTACAGGCTGGTAGTTAGCTGATGTCTGTTGAACCGATACAGTTAAATGACTGTTTTCTGACATCAGTGCAGATCTTGTGGTAAAATCCTGAAATATCTTACGGTGGCTCTGGTCACATCTGGAGGCAGTTCTGTCTGTGCAAATAGGCCTTCCCCACAAACGGAAGAAACATGAAGATTCCCCAGAGGTTTGCTTATATTAACTAAACAGATATTTGAATGGAAGACGTTTTAACACCCTTGTAATAATTCCAGCACAATTAAAGCACACACTTCAGTGTTGCAGTCAGATGTGCACAAGGGAAGGATGGATTCCTGCACCCGGGCAGGTGCTGGCTGACTTCAATGTTATTCCATATGCGGAAAAGTTTCTTTTCAGCAAAGTCTGCGTAGTGAGGTTTTGTACATGTGTATTTTTTTTTTTCAGACTGAGGGGATAAAGGGAAATATGGGCCACCAGGGCTGGCAATTTAGTTGGAAATTAGTATCTAGGAGGTCAGCAGGCTATGGCAGTAGGTGGAGATTCTGTGCAAGCATGGTTGGAGCAGAATTACACCTTGTGTATTGATCACGACACAAGCATCAAGCTGCCAAAATGAAACTTCCACAAATACGATGTGACTGTTGAGAAATATTAGTATAGTAAAAGGAGAATCCAGGTATATCACAATCTGTTCTCTTTCTGGTCTGTAGGATGAGGCATTATATCTCCTTGAAATGCTAATACACACTTGCCAAGTCATTTTGGTGTATGCATAAGTATGTCTGTGCATGCACATGTTCACAGTGTTCTAAATTACTTATAGTGATTTTTCACTGTGAAGTTAAAAGGTCTTTTAAAGAAAAGGTGTTCAAGAATAGTACAACTATGCATTTCCAAAGGTGGATTTACCTCTCCAGCACTGGACAGAGTTTAAGCAAAGTGAACCCAAAACAATGAATACTGAATCAAAACCAGGTGATATCAGACAAGGAGACTGAATTCCTGACATTTAACTACCAGAAACATCTGTTTCTGTGTGTTAGTAATTCCATCTTTTTTTAAAAGTGTTTTTAAAGATGGGAACAATTTTATGAGTAAAAAAAAAAATTGTCCCCAACACATGTATCTGTAATTACTTAGTTTAGTCTGTGTGTTTAATCAGTATGAATTGAGAATGCTGTGTACATTTGATTTCAGTCTCAAAGAGCAATTGAGCACTGGACAGTTACTCTTCCCCCATCTGCCAGTACGTGCCTATGCCAAAAAAACCCAACAAACCACCAACCGACCAAAAAACACACAACTAACCGCCAGCAAAAAGGGCGAGGCTGGAACTAGTACACAGATATTTTCTAGAGAAGCCACTTGACTCTGATTAAATGTCTAATTTCTTTAAAATATTGTTCTGGATTTAGGTCTTTGTCTGATTCTGAAATTGGGATTTATTTTTTTTTCTAGTTGAGGAATATCGCTTAAAGGTTGGCTATGTTCCAGCATCCAGCTGGCATAGCTGTAGAGTGTGTGAAAGTGAATCGCATACATATTCAGCAGTGGCTTCCCCATCCTGCCAAAGATTTGGGCTCCAGCTTAACTGTTCACTGCCAGAAGTGCCACTGAGTCAAATGGCGTTACTCAGACAATTAAAATCAAAGTTTTCCTGGGGTAACAAGTCTTACCTGTGTGCTAGGTCTTTTTCTGCCTGTCTTGTGTTGCATTAGTCTCTCTTTATTTTTGGAGAAGCAAGGTTTTTTATGTGCATATTTAATTATTTGGTTTAAAAAATCTGGCATAGAAGC